TGCAGAGACCGTATGAAAACAGTATCTAACTAATCCTAATTTCCAGTCTTGGAGGTTTTACTGTTTTGGCTGCAGCAGTAAGGTTGCCAGAGCTAGTTGCTGGGGTTGCACTATTAAATTCTGCCGGACAATTTGGAGATGCCATTAAAGAGTCCAAAGAGTCCAAAGAAACAGTGCTGCAGAGGTTTGTCCTAAAGCCACTGAAGGAAATTTTCCAGCGTGTAGTTCTTGGTTTCTTGTTCTGGCAAACAAAGCAACCTTCTCGCATAGAATCTGTTTTAAAGAGTGTATGTTACTTGATCCTTTTTCCTGAACTTGTCACTTACTGAATTAAAACCTTAAAAAGAGTTCAGAAGCTTTATATTATTTTGCATAAGCAGAACATTTACCATTACTCTCTAAAATAATTTCCTTTGCTCTAATATTATGATGGAGTTGATAAGCATTTTAGGTATGGCAAAAACATAGGGAATAGATTCACATAGACACTATAATATAGAAACTCTGCTAAGCAAATATATTTGTTACCTTGTGCTCCTCATTCACTGTTGTGTTGTTCCTATAATAATACATAATCTTCTCGTTGATATAGGTGTATATAAATACTTCCAATGTGGATGACTATCTTGTCGAGTCAATAACAAGGCCGGCAGCTGACCCAAATGCTGGAGAAGTTTATTACAGGTATACATGAAAATGTAACCCCTGAAATTTGTCAATGGAAACCTGCCACATAGGACGAGCACCCAATTTTCTGAACATTTGTCAACACTGTTGCGAATTTTCTTTCAAAACCAAAATGAATTGTCATATTATTATTATTAAAAAAATGATTGGTTGAATGACTGCTAACTAGTGTAATGGAATTTTGAAGTGTTCTTTTCCTTACCTCGCCTAAAGACTAAAACCATATTTGGGCAGATTAATGACGCGGTTTATGATGAATCAAAGCAAATACACTCTAGACAGTGTCTTAAGCAAGCTATCTTGTCCATTGCTGCTGCTCTGGGGCGACTTAGATCCATGGGTAGGTCCTGCAAAGGCTAACAGAATCAAAGAGTTCTATCCAAACACATCTCTCGTGCACTTGCAGGCTGGCCACTGTCCTCATGATGAAGTTCCAGAACTTGTCAATAGGGCTTTAGTTGATTGGTTGTCTACTCTAACGCCTAGCACCTCTCTTCAAACGGTGTGAAACTGTTTTATTTTTTTGCGAGATGCTTACATCTTCATCGAGGTATTATCTGTATTATAAATGTAAATACAATCAAAATTGTAATTATTCTTTGTATTATTGGCTGGTTTGAGAATATGATAGGAATTATATAGGTTGTCATAGTCCCACCATACTAATAATTTGAACAAGCTATTTTTGTATTAATTCTCATACTTGAAATTCAACAGGAATCTTATTTATTCCCTGTTTGGAGGACGTCACAGGAATCTTTCTTTGTCTGTCGACTTTTTCAGCGAGCTCTCAGATTACAGTGCCTGAGCTCAAATATCTTCCTTTTAAATTGGTTGATCAGAATGGAATCAAATTAATGAAATATGAAAAAGACAAGTAATATTTGAGTAAAGAATAGAGATGGATATCCAGATTAATGTAATTTTTTACGTTTACTCTATAGGTTATTACATTTTTGTCTACTCCGATGATGGCTTTGGACGACCTAAAAATTAGAAAGTAAACTTGAAGAAAATATTAACTGTGGTTAAAACTGAATATATTTTCATAATAGAAATACATTCTGATGATCATGGCGAGAAAAAGTAGTCACATGGGTAATTCATTTTTCTCCTATTTAATTTAATTATTGAATAAAACAAACCTCACTGCTCACTATAAAATAATTCTAAACATGGGTAGACAGGTGACTACTAGTTATACTTCCGTAAGTCTTTCTTTTTTTCCCTCTGAAATGATCACCTATCTTAGTTTATTAAGTTTTACTTGGACTTGGTAAGACTCCCATGAGAAAGTCAACTTTCCTCTATTGCCTGTGTGCATAATATACCTTACAAGTCTTAACCCACAAATCAAATCTAATTCAAAACCTATCTCCAAGTTCTTGTTTGTGGGAGAGGAAAATCAAATGGCTGAGAAAAGCAAGATATTGATCATAGGAGCAACCGGGTATGTGGGGAAATTCATGGTTGAGGCAAGTGTAAAGGCTGGGCACCCTACTTTTGCATTGGTCAGAGAAAGCTCAGTTTCTAGCCCTGAAAGGTCACAGCTCATTGAGAAATTTAGGAGCTCTGGAGTAACATTGTTATATGTATGTACTTTAAAAGTAATTTCAGTACAATCTTATTTTCCGGCTGATTCTTTTTTACACTTATACTGTGTTTTGTTCACTTCTTCTTCAATTCCTTTTAATTTTCTTAAGTCTAATTATTGTATCGGTCTTAATGTGTACGATTAGAATACAATTTGTTGTGTTATAATTATGCATCTTAACACTAATACAGGACTGACCCAGAAATTGAATAAGAAAAAAAATATGAAATGAACCAACGCAACCTAAATACTTGCTGACAAGAATCTTGCCATCTGGGTGATCTTTTCACAGGGTGACATCCATGATCATGAGAATTTGGTCAAAGCAATCAAGCAAGTTGATGTAGTGATCTCCACTGTAGGATCAGAGCAGCTTGCTGATCAAGTGAAGATAATTGCAGCCATTAAAGAAGTTGGAAATGTCAAGGCAAGCAACTTTTCTTGATTCTCTAAACCTTTCCTTTTCTTTCGTTTTGGGTATTTTCTGTCTTGTTTCACCAAAATTGTAAGGAGCATTAGTGATTGACCTTTTAAGTGACGGAAATTACCTGAGTTTCAGAGATTCCTCCCATCAGAATTCGGCATAGATGTGGATCGTGTTCATGCCGTTGAGCCTGTTGCTAGCCTCTGGGCTCTCAAAACTAAGATTAGAAGAGCTGTAGAAGCTGAAGGGATACCTTATACCTACGTCATATCCAATGCTCTTGCTGGGTATTTTCTGCCAACCTTAGCACAGCCAAATGCTACAGCCCCTCCTAGGGATAAAATTATCATACTTGGAGATGGAAATCCAAAAGGTTTTTACTCAAATTCTGCTATATAATTCTTTAGTATGTGCTTTTTTTTCTTTTAGTGCCTTGAAGCATTTGATAGAGTCAGGGAAACAAGCTTATGGTAGTTCTGTTTCAAGTACTATTAGCTGTTGATTCTCCCATGTTTCAGCAATTATTGTCAAGGAAGAAGATGCAGCTATATACACTATTAAAGCAGTAGATGATCCAAGGACCCTAGACAAGATTCTTTATATGGCTCCACCAGCTAATGTTTTGTCCTTCAATGAGGTAATTGCCTTGTGGGAAAAGAAAATTGGCAAGAAGCTGGAGAAGATCTATATTCCTGAGGATCGGCTCCTTAAGACTATCAAAGGTGATTGAATTTTTTTGCAAAAACAAGACAAGATGCATTGCTCAAAGACTTAATCCTTTAACAGGATCATAATCCTGAGATTGGGTTTTGTGTCTTTTTTAATTCAATGCCTAGTTTTAGTTCTCTTATTAGTTCTAATATGCATAATCAAAATATAACCCACTGTGTTTAAGTTATTATCCCTCCACCTTGAATTCCTTGCTGGTGGGAATTCAATCTATAACTTTTCGTGGTGAGAGTTGAATTCCTGCCACCAAGCAATTCAAGATGGGAGTGCTGGTAATTCGAACACAATAAAATATGTTTCAATTATGTGTATTAAGACTAATGTGAGAATAACTAAGAGTTATATGCAACATGATAACCATTTCCCTCTAGTAGACATCTCGATATTGAAATCTTTTCTTGTTCTTGCCTTTCTACAGAATCTCCAAGTCCTGTAAATCTCATTTTGTCTATGTGCCATGCTGTACTGGTGAAAGGATATGCTACAAACTTTAAAATCGAGTCTTCATTTGGCATAGAGGCTTCTGAGCTATATCCTGAGGTGAAATACGATACTGTGGACGAATCCTTGATCAGTTTGTCTGAGATAAATGTATAGCGTCTCTCCTCGTTTCCGTTTTAGACTTTCAACCATAAGGAGTACTCTGTCTCACAGCTGTTTCTGGTCTCTTTACAGTTGTATTCTTTTTTACATTACTCTTTGTATTTCAGCTATGAATATTACCGTGATTGTTTCGTTACCATATGTAATCAATCTACCTGTAAATTCCCCGTCAATTTTGTTCTTTGATATTTCTTAGGCTAGGAGAAGTTCTGAAATTTACTCGATAAGATAAATGGAAATCTATACTTGGAATTACTGGATAGGTTTTGGTTTGATCTGTTGGATTCCCCATTGATAAATCCAAATGATCCATTGTTGTTTACAAGGATTTCAGCTAACGGTGCTTTAGGCATCAAGAAATTTATACCCACCCTCTCAAGAATCCAAGAGATATTTTATAATCTAAGTAAATGGAACTATGGATTTTAATGAGAAGACAAGCTTATGCTCCTTTAATATGGAATCACGTTCTGCAAAAAGTTAAATGATGTTGAAGAATAATCAATTCTACTTCACTAGCTGATAGAGCTTTGATTAAAATGTTACAGCCTACAAAGCTAAATTTGAAGGAATATAACCTTACTTGCACCAAGTTAATTTGGCTAAGCTTTTTGGAGGGACTGTGAACCATGGAATATGCCTTGTCATTCCATTATTCATAAGAGTACTTTTTCAGATACTTCATTCTAAGATGCCTCAGCATCCAAATCTGAATGTCCATTGACTTGTGTCCTATGCTAGCTTCTGCTGAAGGAATATTTATATTTCATCAGATTTTTCATGTAGATCTTTTTTAATCAATAATATATTTTTTGTTTTCTTTTCGGGACAAAATCTGTAAAAACAACAAGGAAGATGTGTCATCACCCTGGTTAACTTCATTACAGTTTCTCTTTTCTCAGGGAAATAACAGAAAATATAATCAAAATTTCCAATTGCTAGCATCCAAGGAAAGCCTCTGAAAATAAGTTGATTTTTTAATTTTATTCACAGTCGCCAAGCGGAGAGACAGAAGCAGACAGAAAGAAAGGACAAAAGACAGAATTGTCATTAATGAAGTGCTTAGTAATTGCAGGACATGCTAGAAGTGTTTGTTCACTTGTAAACACGGCTAGCTGGATACAAGTTAGAACATTAAAAAACTGCAGAATACAAAGACATTGTCTTCCCCGATGTCTTTGCTTTGTAACCATCGACTGCTTAAACAATTTAAGCATTTTCGGCATCTTTATATCTCTCTTCATACCTTGGATTCTCTCTGATTATTCTTTTTTCGCCTGTTATCTTCTTCATTCACTCATAAATCTTGAACACCCTTTACTGAAATGGAATAAAAATATGAAATTTTAGATAATATTGATCTGAATTTCTTTTGATTCAATTTGACAGTTCAGTGTTGCTAAGAAGAAAGATGGAGGGTTCTGCAAGGCATGGGAGAAGTCCTCACCTTTATTCCTCTGTTTTGTTGAAGCAAAGGAGGAGTGGTTACGAGCCTTCTGATACGGAAACAGAATGGCAAGAAAGTCCATGGCATGATCACAACCAAACAAATGAAGCTGGTGATCTTAACATGGTTTCTGATTTGCCCAGAAACATAAAGATAAGTCCTATGAGACTTAGACAAAGAAAGTCTTCAATGTTTGAGTACCAAGATGGATCTTCCGCGGGTAATAAGGATTCAAGAATTGGCCCAACTCAAAGGAGAGCTAGCAGCAAGTCACCGTATAAGCCAAGGAGGGATGATGGCATTGATCTTTTGCTCAAACCCAGCTTGGATGTCAACCGAAACATTAGACCACTGTCCAAATTTGAGCGTAGAAGATATATTTCTCCTTTTAAATCTGAAAGAGTAGACAAAGAAGTGGATGCTAATGGGGTTAAGGATGATGTTCTTGTGTCAAACAGATGGCAAAATCAAAAAACACCTGCTAGAAATGAAAGGGAAAGTAATTCACAGCTTCATGGAGTCAGTAAGGTGAGTGAAAGCCTGAGCTACAATCGAAGATCAGTCACTGCCCCGAGACTGAGAAAATGGGAGATGGACCAACAGAAATTACAGAACAGCAATGGGAATCAAGTGAAGCGAAGGGGAGAGAGAACTCCATCGCCTTTAGCTAGGAACATAATGGGGAAGCATGGTGAAGTTTCACAGCCTGCAAAATCACCATCAGTTGGGGAACTCAATGAAATGGTTGCCAACTCAAAGATGTCAATAGGGCCTTTGTTTGATGTTGCAAATATTGAGAGCACTGAGTCTATTTCACCAGGTGATATCTTCTTCTCTCATGATCACACTGCCTTGGCAATGCAGAAAAATTCTATGCTGAACAAAACTGGTTCTGACAGCCATTTTCTCCCCGAGCCTCCAGCGTTTTCCCAGAAAAAGTTTATCTCTCATCCGCAAGCTGGTAAAGTAAACGGTAGTCTTGATCAGAAAACAAGAAGGGTAAACTCAATGAATTCTGGTTTCTCACAAACTACTATGACCTCTAGCTCCAATATTAGCAGGCAGAGTAGTAAGCTTAGCAGCAGAAGTAGTAAAGCTAGTGAAGTTAGTGGGAGAACAAGCGTAAGCATGGGGAAGTTCACAGCGAATAGGCGCAAAAGCCAGACAGATACATGGTTTGCCTGTATGAGAAAGGGGGCCTGCAGGACCCCAAAATCTCCGGATAGGACAGCGATTGACGAGACCAATTTTATTGAGAAGGCATTTGTGGTTGAAGAACTTGGGCCATTTTGGGCTGATAAGCATCAACCTGGTTCTTTAAATGGATTCATTTGCCATAAACAAGAAGCTCAGCTCCTCAAGCAACTTGTAAGTAAATCCCAGATCCCAAGCTCTTCTGTCTCTTTTATCTGATCATCTCATAATGTTCGTGAATCTCCTCATGATGCTAATAAGCTTTTGTTCTGCGTAATTAACCACAAGAGATTCACGTAATTCAGTCAAAATCACCTATTCTGCTGGATAGATGGATCTGAATTCATAATAGAATAAATCTAAAAGTTGCATTTGTTTTCTTGCATTCAAACCATAACCTCCTTATGTTTATGTCTCACAAAGTAGCAACAATAACATTTTAGAGAATAAAGATGCATTCATGCAGAGCAGCTGCATGGAGAAACAAAAAAAAAGAAACTACATAGAGTTTGGTGAAATTAAGACACATTTGTTGGCTAGTAACTTGGTCCTCTTTGCTATTCTAGGTATCCCGAGAAAGTTGTCCTCATATTCTATTCAAAGGACCATCAGGATCTGGAAAAAGAGCCTTAGCAATGGCTCTGCTACATGAAATATATGGCGATCAATGTTGGAACGTATGTTTTTGGTTTAATTTACAGTAAGTTTGCTGATTTTCATTCCCCCCAACAGCATACAAGGATAATGAAATTTTGTTTTTTCTCTTTGGATGCAGGTATCTCATGAACTAAGATTTTTCCCAGTTCAGGTATATTGTTCTCGAACAGATTTGATACTTTTAATTTGTGCTATGTGAAGCTTATCGATGTGCATGATCCTGAAAACCAATTAGGACCCAGCTGTTTAATCTAAGCTTTAATCTTGAACTGACTAATTTGACAAAGTAAACTGGAGATCATAGACAAAAATGTTGAGTGTAACATATCCCGGAAGCTACATAGAAAGGAGAAGTATTTTTAACTGAATCTTCTCTTTTTACCAGGAAAAACGGCCAATACAAGTACCTGTTCCAATAACATCCAGTACTCGCCATATGGAGCTTAATGTAAAATTGGAACCAAATGCTAAATATGCATTAATGGGTTTGGTCAAAGAAATAAACAGCCGCTATGCAATCCCTCCTGAAGTGAGCAATGCTAGTCTCAAGGCAGATTATAAAGGTCCAATTTCTTGAATGCATGTATAATTGAAAACCAAATGATTAAGCTGTCCACCATATGGCTGATAAGAGTTTTGTTTCTTTGATTTTTCAGTTATAGTTCTTTATGAAGTGGACAAAGCAGAAGAGAACATCCAACACTTGATAAAATTGATTGTGGACCGATACACAGACGTCTGTAAACTCATCCTCTGCTGTGAAGATGATGCTAACATCATAGAACCAGTGAGAAACCTCTGCACAATTATCAAGGTTGATGCTCCTATAACTCATGAAGTAAGTATCATCTTATTTTCGGAGTCAGAACTCATTTTGGTCAATCACAGAGATCTCCTAAGTTGATCTTGTAAATATATGAATAAAAGATTAGTCCTAACTTATCAACTTAAGCTTTTCGAAGAATTAATCCTACCTTATTATTTAGTATTATAATAAAGTTAGAGGTTTCGTGTTTAAATCTTAGAAGATTACCCAATTTTGTTAGTTGTCAATATAAGATAACTGTCAATTTTGTAGATCATGGAGATACTAATTCAGATAGCAAGGAAGGAGGACATTGATCTGCCTATGAGCTTTGCAGCCAAAATTGCTACAAAATCGAAGCAGAACTTAAGGAAAGCAATCATGGCTCTTGAAGCATGCAAAGCAAACAAGTAAGAAATTGAAGAAGATATTACTGAATTTCCAATAAGTATGAACCTATTAAAAAATGAAAATTTTCTCATAAACTTTTTCTGCATTTTAATTATTTATTGCTTTGCCCACACAGCTATCCTTTTGTTGATGACCAGCCAATTCAACTTGGGTGGGAAGAGGTCTTGATAGAAATTGCTGCAGAAATCTTGGCTGATCCATCACCTAAAAGGTCTCTTTCTGATTTTTTGGGAAAAACAGTCAAATATATACATGTATATGTATATATTGTGTTATCGGTTTAATTTTTTGAAAAAAGTTTATTATAATGCATTATTTAATACAATTATTCTGCAAGAACCAAACTGTTCTCTTCTTGCCCTTGAAGTAATCTATACAAATATGAGAATTCTTGAATAGTTGATTCAGAAATAGAAAAGAAGATACCAATAGTGTTATTCATTTGTCTTCTATATATAATAAACTCAAAATGACATCTTACTAATTACGATTAATCAGATTGTTTTTCCTTCGGGGAAAATTTCAGACACTTCTCGTAGACTTTGTTCATCCAAAGCTGATTCTTCAGGTGATGCTTTTTGGTATATTAACTTAAAATTAGGCAACTCCATTACAAATGAATATTGCATTATTTGCGGATTTTGTTTTTGGAAAATGCAGAAGCTTGTAGAACAATTCCTCAAGGGAATTGAGGCTAGTTTAAAAAGGGAAGTCTTTTACTGGCATGCTTATTATGTAAGTTCCGACTTGTATTTCTCCATTAATTATGTTTACTTCTTGTGGAGGAAGGTTAAAGGGAAGTAACTTAAATGTCGTGATAATTGACAGGAGAAGAGGCTTCCGGCCGGAACCACTGCTTTGCTGAAACTAGAAGGTAACATGAACTAATCAAATCACAAACTTTTCTCCCTTTCATAACATTATGAAGTTTTAACAAAAAGCCTATTTTAAAGCCTTAATATGATAGGAAATTACCCAACTTGTTATTTATATTTTTACATATATTTTCGCATGTAAGTCTATTATACTAATACATTAAACAAAGTATGAAGCCTCCATACTTTGTGCTAAAAGTTGATTTTGAAAGGTATAAACAATCAACATATAAAATTTTGATGAAAATAATACTAATAAGGGTGATTTTTTGAGAAATTCTCGTATTACACTCGCTTTATTTTTAAAAAAGATACGAAATCTTAATATTTCATCTCCAATACCAAGTCTTGACTTCTCAGTCTAATATTGACCCTTTTCTTGCGCAGAATTTGTGGCCAAGTTCATGAGTATATACAGGAAGAGCTCGAGGAATCGACAATTTGTATAATCTTAATATTCTCGTTAGTACTTGTGGGTTGATTACGGGTAACATGCCATCATCTATAGCTTATTCTTAAAGCTATTGGTGCTGGTAGGTAAGAGTTGAAGATGAAACAATTAAAGAGAGTTACAGAAATCCAAAGCTATTGTTCATGAGATCCTGCAGCACTTGTCTGCATACGACATACATATATATACATATACATATGTATATAATTTTATTTTATTCAGTTTTTATTTCGTTTAAAATAATATTTAATTTTCTTCAGTTATTTTACCAAAAAATAACTGTTTCATAATTACAGCATCACGTTACGAATTAATTCTAAAAGCAAAATGTAAATTCAACCGATATTTTACAATATAAAATAAAGTGAATTATTGTATTTTAACATCCAAATTTTAAAGTTTTAAGGACAAAATGTAAGCATTAAGGGTTTTTATTTAATATTTATATTCTTAAAATAGACTTTCGGTCAATTATTAATTATTCATATTGGGCCTGGGCCTGGGCCTGGGCCTGGTCCTTGCTTAATTAAATTCCTTACAAAAGAACTTGCCTGGGCCCAGTTTGGTTAACTTGGCATTATTCGCAACACCAACCATGGGCAACTATTACGACACCGTTTCAGACAGCAGCTTCACTTGCTTCGCAGAATCATGGATTTTATTTTATGCGGATAACCGTCTGGAATTAGTTCAAAAAAAGGTCACCACATCCGCATGTGCACTTCAGGCTTCAGTGGGGTACGGAATTGGTTTACCACCAACTTGAAAATTGGAATATCTTAAAATGCCAAACAGAATAATTGGAGCATCTGGTTATATATAGTCGTTGAGTGCTTAATTACACGTGTATATCTTTCATTCGTCCTTTAGATGACCGTCATGTCATCTATCACAAAAAATCCCTCAAGAAAGTAGGGAATTACACAGGCAAAATAAAATCATAACACGTGTCTTCATCACTAGCCGTCCATCAATTCACATTTACATCCAACGAACCATATTGATCATAGACTGGCCGTTGAACGATGCCCAAGAACTGTTTCTTGGCTCTTGGACTTTACAACAGCACTTCCCTCACCTTCCATAAATAAGCAACATATTTTCCCTCCGTAGTATATTCTCTATCTCTCTTTTTAGTACACTGGGTAGCTTTTGTATATGCATATATAGACGTATAAGCAATAGTATTGTAGTAAAGGAGTTTGGACCATTTGGATTGGAGGTGAGCTTTTGCTTGATTCTCTGTAAGTTGGAATTCCACTAGAACACGCATGTTTAATTGATTTCTTTTTGTAGTTTATTTGGTTTCAGTCTTTTAAAGGGAGATTGCAGATTAAGGGACACTCATTTTGTTTGTTTGCCAAGAAATTTCCTGAGCACTATCAGCTAGGTAAATTAATATTGTTCGGCGTCGTTGTATGTACTTCTTTTTCTGGGTCTTTTGAGAGTTGAGTTCTCATGAATGCTTCATTTTCTTTATTAGTTCTTGGAGTGGTTTTTTATTTTCTTGGGCGGGAGGGGGGGTTACTTTGGTTCTTTTTTTATTTTAGATCATTTTTCTTGAATTTTATTGGTTTTGATTCGTGCCTCTGCCAGCATCTCTTGCATTTTCTCAATGAAATTATCACTTGCGATTATACTAATTGTTTCTTTTTTTTTTTTTTGTTGATTGATACTGATAACAGGTGAAAAATGGGGGGATTTATTTAAATGTTTTCTTGACTTTGCATTTTGTTTTGAATGCCAATTTTCTTGAATGTTGGAAGTAATTTATCAATTTCATATTATTTGTCTGTTTTTGAAATGATTTTCACTTATGTAATTTTGGGTGTCTATATACCTATTACGTACATATTTTGCAGAATGGCTACCAGTTTTGGAGAAGCAAGCAGCAGGAGCGCAGGCTACCCTCGTTTGGTCCTCAATGAAAGGATTCTTTCTTCTATATCTACGAGATCTGTTGCTGCTCATCCTTGGCATGACTTAGAGATTGGTATGTTTGTCTTGTGTTGCAGAGATTACAATCTCTTTTCTGGTTACGTTTCATGTATACAACGGGTTTCTACAATTAGTTTTTATATAATTAATAAATTGGAACTTTGGTACTAGTTTCAGATTGTTTTTGAGAATCCTCTACCTTAAACTTCCGTTGTATATCATCATGGCGGGATTTCTGCTTAGTTAATATATATGCAATTCTGCTTGTGCTCAGCTTGGTACATACGAAATTGTGCTTGCTTGTGAGGAGAGCGATAGGATACGATATAAATAATAAATCAGTTCATTTTTTGCTGCTACAAGTTCTTGAAATAACTGGATGACTTATTATTTAATACGACAGCATATATGATTTATACTCCCTCTCATATTGAAGTTTTGCTCAAGCACGAAACATCCCTAACATGTCACTCTTCTTCTTCTTCATATTTATGCAGGACCTGGCGCTCCAGCCATATTCAATTGTGTAAGTTTTATTGTCTATGTAGGGAAGATTGTGTAATAAAGAATCCAAGTGATTTGTTGGATGGGTTGCCTGGCTTATCTATGGCCTTTCCTAATAGGAAAAGGATAAAATACTAAGATCATAAATTGTTGTATAATCTTACTCTTCTAAGATGTAACTCTTGGCTGGTTCTGTAAAAAGCACGATATTGTTCAATAGTACTCATCTGACACATTTGTTCATAAATCGTTCATTTAGATTAGTAATCTTAGAGAAACTTGTCGCTTGTGTCAATATGTTCATTCAGGTATTGGAAGTTTGAGAGCTTCATTTACTTGTAAAGTAATGAATCGACTGAGAAGAATTTCATGTTTCCAGTGGGTGGCTGTTACAATCCTGATATGTGGATGTTTTTATGGAATTATATTAATAGTATGGACTCATTAATAGGAAAACTAATGGTTTCTGATTTTTTTTGTTAATAGTATGAGCGAGCTCGTTAAGAGAAAACCTATCGATTTTTTGTATAAGAAAGTACTCAATACTTTTTCGTAACTTTCTTCTTTCCTAAAAATTTTCGAAGTAGATAGCATGTATCTGTACAAGATAAACGGTAATTATCTGGAAGTTATTTTCAGAATTAACTATTCATTTTTATTTTTAAATAAAGAATTAACTGTTCCTTTATCCTTGTATAGACTTATTCTCGCTACTACACATGTCCACTGTTAACACATCATATTACACATGACATATACTGATCTATTCTCCCTAACACACTTGTCCACCCACTTAACTCATCATCTATTTTCCCTAATACATCATAATGTCGCCATAACAGTGGCTGCATCAACTAGAAAGCCAGTAGTCTTAATGGAGTGTTCTGTCCAACTGCGACAAATACAAGTTACTGCCAATTGTGGGTTTTGGTGCATAAATAGGATAGAACAAAATATAATAGAACACAACATAACTTATACGAAACAAAACACACTTTTAGGTGTGTGGGTGAATGTGTAGTTCTGACATCAGAGCATTAAGTTCAATCGAGAAACTTTTTACCACGGGGGAAACTTTATTCAAGATTGTAATATTAACTCAGATCATTTACTGATATGATCCTGATATGAATTTCCATTGCAGGTGGTTGAAATTGGCAAAGGCAGCAAGGTCAAGTATGAGCTTGACAAGACCAGTGGCCTTATCAAAGTGAGATTTTTCTCCTTTCTATCTTAAACAGAATCTTTTATGCTTAGTTTTATATATTTTGTAAAACTGCTTCTATCTTGTTGCAGGTGTAATCTTTTAATTTAGTTTTATAGGAAGGACTGACTTTACAGTGACTAATCAGCTCTAGGAATGTCTTATATGATTTAAAAACCCATTATTTTTTGCTAAATAAATTAAAAACCCATGTTTGCAGTGCCTACTAACTATCATTTTTCAACTTATTAAATTGTCATAATACTTTTTTGGACTGTGAAAACGTAAGCAAATGTTTCTGCTTATTGCTTTACTCGAGAGTGGAGCTTGGATTTTTGCGGTATATATCTCTTCTTAAGCCTGTATATTCTTACAAGTAGCCCACAAGTAAAACTATGTTGAAGTCAAATGTAAAATAGATACTAGAATGTGTTCAATATTTACATATTAAACTACAACGATTTTAATGTTCCATATCTGAGCTTGATACTGTGGTTTTATTTGAATCATGTTTTAGCTGCTGTTACATTGGTTTTAAGACAATGTAAAATTCATGCCTGAAGACTATGAAGGAAAGAACAAAAGTAATTACTAGATGTATCAGGGTTGAAATGAATTGGAATAATTGATTCTTTTTCAAATTTTTGTCAAACAATTGTGTAAATAAAAAATTTAAGTGTACCAATTGCGTTTATAGGTCTTCAACTCCTTTGTATTCCTGGAATACTTAATAATTTTTTAAGAACAAATGATTGAGTGTATCTGAAATAGGTTGATCGCATTCTCTACTCATCAGTTGTTTACCCACACAACTACGGCTTCATTCCACGCACTATTTGTGAGGATAGTGATCCGATGGATGTCCTGATACTGATGCAGGTTGTGTTTGTTTGGCTTATTAATTTGCTGCAATCAGTTAAATTCAGATTCTCAATCCAAATGAACTAACTCAGCCTTTGGATTTTCCTTTCTATAGGAGCCTGTGTTGCCAGGTACTTTCCTCCGTGCTCGTGCTATTGGACTAATGCCTATGATTGATCAGGTAAATATTTTGCTCTCAATTTTTGCTTATCTTAGTTGAATAATACATCCATAGCTGAAGAGAAATATGTAGATGGGAAAACTTAAAATCAAAATCTCAAACTCTAATACCATATTGAATAATAAATTGTGACTAATTTTCTCAAAAACTTCAAATAATTAGGAAAATGCCCAATATTAGCTATATGATATCTTAACAATGTCAAGCTGAACCTGGAAACTCTGTGCCTGATCTGTCTTTGAGTCCATTTATCTGGTTATCTTTGTAGGTCCAAAGGGATGATGATCATTGATAATTTTGATACCACTAATCATGGATGGATGCCTTTGATTGTGGAAATAAAAAATATTGATAACTAAATGTACCAACCCCTTCTCTTCTGGTTGTTTTGCCTATTGTTTTCTCCAGCAGATCCCATTTGCTCCACTTCCTATTGATATCCGGACAGTAATCAGATCCTTTATTAATAAAGTAGAATTTCTTTTGCAGGGTGAAAAGGATGACAAAATCATTGCTGTATGTGCTGATGATCCTGAGTTCCGTCACTACACAGACATCAAAGAGCTTCCTCCTCATCGCCTTTCTGAAATTCGCCGCTTCTTTGAGGACTGTATCCATTTCCTGCACTCAAATTCTTTTCCTGCTTACAAATATTAGTGTTTCTGTTTCATTTTTGAAAGGTCATAGTGATAAATATGTCTTATGAACATTGAATTTTCCATGCATGTCAACTTTCTAATATGTAATTTTTAAGTGTCTAAATATTGGTATTTGCTAACAGTATCTACTTGCGAACTGTATTCCTTTACCTATCACTAATGACAGACAAAAAGAATGAGAACAAGAAAGTGGCTGTTGAAGATTTTCTGCCAGCTGACTCTGCTATTGAAGCGATCGAGTACTCCATGTAAGTTTTTATTTTGGAAAAATTATTGTTTTGCTTGGTCAAGTTTTTATTTTGAGACAGTTGATATCCTGAAGTTTCAAAACTAAGTACTAATGTCATTTTGCTATCTTTGTAATTGCACAAATCTTGCATTGTTTTAGTACACTTATTTTCCTAAGAAAATTCTGTCACTTATTTTAAGTTCATTTTGACAAAAGATCACAACTGTAATACAGATCTGCCTAATCAATGTATCAAAACTTCATAAAAATGTACTTAAATTCCATCCAAATATCAAAAAGAGTGTCTAAAAGAAAATGTAGTTAAAAGTTTTGTTAGTTGAATATTGGTAATCAAAACTATACTTCACCATTTTGTCTAAAAGTAGAATCTCAAAATAGTTAAAACTATCAGAAAACAAACTTTTTCTTTGAAATGAGCAAACCTTAAGGTTAATCTATTCTTTTGCCTTATTTATCAATTTATTTCCAATCATCGAACTGGTATGATTTTACTTTTTGAGACTCCATGCCTGGATTTCATTCTTTCTAGATTTCTTTAGTCTAATTCCGCTCACTATTTTCTGGTAGAAAGTGATATGGGCAGAACTAGAGATAGATAGTTTCATTTATTTGGGGCTCTATTATTGAGGCATGATATGTAAGGATGGAAGATTTTGGGTTCTTGATTGATTGCCTAATAAATATGTAATTTTTTTGCACATGGATTGCACCCCACCCCCCTTGATGCTTTGTTAATAGTTTTACACTTTTTTATTTCAAAAAAAAAAAAAAAAAAGAAACCCAAATATGCAATTACTTATTTTACATTACATGGTTCCACTTGCAGGGATCTATATGCTTCTTACATTGTGGAAAGCTTGAGGAAGTGAACAACTATGGAGTCTGGTTAAGCTTTGAGCCAATTACTTTGAAGGAATACTGTTATAACTAATACATCATCAATCTGGGTTTTTCACCAAAAAAAAAAAACTTTTATTTCCAGTTTCTCGAGAGGAAATTGGGAAATCCATGTCTTGTTAAGCTGTTGTCGTTATACTTTGTTTTGGTTAAAAGTAGGCTGGACACACATGTAGCCCATAGCTTTTGGTTGAAAGTATCTCTACAGGTTTTTTTTCCCTAAAAAATGAAGGATTTGGATCATGAATGCAGTATAAACTCACATATTATAAAATAAATTACTATAAAACATATGGAAGTTTTTGTAATAATTATATCTTAAAAATTATTTTTGTAATTATTGGTACATATACTTATAAAAAATGCTTTAGTCATAATATTTTTTATCAATTTTAACTCTTAATTTATATATAATAATAGAAAATATTATATTTTTAAATAATTTTTACGTCACAAAATATATAAATAATTTCTACTGTTTTGTAAAAAAATTTATTAAAAACTACATTTTTAATTAATTCTGTAAATTATTTTAAGAGATCCAAATAATTTTGAGGCTTAATTACAATATAATTTCTAACTCACGATCTAAATTGATAAGTTCTCTTATTTTAAGTGTAAAATTCATATTATTGTATATCGAACGACGTCGTTAATGAGGAAAATGAAACGGGGCAAAAAATAATTTAGCGCCTGAAAGAATGTCCATGAAACCCATTGGAGCTCCGACCCGACCCGAATATTAGATAGCCAGGTACCACTGGGTGAAGCAGTAGGGGCACCCACGTACAACACTCTAACTTTCGCTGCATTTTGGGGAGAGTCTTCCCTTCCTCCCATCTCTCGACTGCTTTGCTTTCTCAGCTATAACAGTCTCCTGTAGAATACCAAACCCTGTCAATCTCAGCTTACTAGAACAAGAAGGAGGCCAAGAAGAAGTAGAAGATGGGGACATTGGGGAAAGCAGTTTACACCGTTGGATTTTGGATCCGAGAAACCGGCCAAGCCCTTGATCGTCTCGGTTGTCGCCTTCAAGGAAATTATTACTTTCAAGAACAGTGTATGTCTCTAATCAATAATCATTTCTCGTATGTTCTCTCGTTCGTGATCTTGTTCATTACTTGATTCTCGTCAACCCTCAAACCCCAATTTCTTCGCACCATGCTGAGTTGGATTCTTCTCCTGGTTATGACTTCATTTTCTGGACGTTTTTCTGTTGAATGGTGGACGGAGTTATAGTTCTGTTTTGAAATTTCTGGTTTGAATTTGAAATGAGCGTGATAGGGTTGATAAGATTTGGTCCCGTAGCCGATGGTTTAGATTTAAAACGGGAATGCAGTAATTGCCTCGTACACGCATATATAATAGTCTGTTTGGTGGCGCAGAGGAGAGAAGGAAAATGTAGAAACTAGGATCTTAATTTTTTTTTTGTTGTTTGAAGATTTTGATTCTTGATTTTTTACCTGGTGTCATATGTTGCAAATGAAATACCATTAGTTTGTAGCTTCCTCTCTGTTCGATCTTTTCTTTTTAATTATAAAGATGAGTCACAAAGGGAGAAGAGTTCGAGTAATTTGGTTATTCTGTTGGGTGTATGTGCAATGTGAGTGCCTCCGCAGAGGAAATGTTGAGCCCCTCCTTTTATATATGAGATTATGAACGTGTTGTCCACCTGCTGTTTTATTTTCATCCATACACTTTTTGATGCATGATTTGTCTAGGGTTCTGAATAATGTTCTGTTGTTATGATTGTGAAAAGTCACAACTGAGATAGAGTTTGAGGCTCCTGTGGATCATCTGGTTTAAGGCCGTTTTGCCTTTGTCATGCTGGTGTTTGGTCCAATGAACGTGACTTTTGCTTCAAATTAGGCTTTCTATTCATATTTAGTTCTGTTACTGGTAGAAGATCTTTAACACTACTACTATTCTGCTTTGGACCAGGCTGATTAAGGATTCATAAAGTCAAGTCCTAAAATTTTTCAACTATAAACCAGTTCACTAATTTTTCTCACTTCATTTTATTCACCTATTATGAAATTTTTTATGTTTGTTCTTGTTCTCTGATACTTTCTTGGTTGTCCAGTATCAAGGCATCGGACACTCATGAACGTATTTGACAAAGCTCCTACAGTGGACAAGGATGCCTTTGTGGCCCCAAGTGCATCCATTATCGGTGATGTTAGTGTGGGCCGAGGTTCTTCCATATGGTATGGGTGTGTTTTAAGAGGTAAGCAGCGGTGATGCACCATGATAATAACTTGATGGTATTTGGTAGTCTAAACTCATTCATAATCTTGGTCTAATTATGCTAAATTGGGATTGTTTTGCAAGATGTAGAATATGTAGATATTCTTTACAAACTCAAGAGATTGGAAAATGCATTTACTAGGTTTTAAATATCAAGTTGATATTAGTAATAATACCATTTAGAATCTTGAGATCAGACTAGAAAGCATGATATAGATGATTTCTTCAGCTTTTGCGCCACAACTATCACTACTATGAAGTAATGTTGGCATCAGTTACTACATTGGTGACTTATTATTAGCAGATAATGTATATTCTTAAAAAAATGATATCAAGCTGCTTTGGTTAAAAAAATTGTAAATTATTGCTGGGAAATAGATATGAACCTCGTCGGTAAAGTTGCTTAAGAAAACACAATTTATCTAAAGAAGAAACAGAAAGCCTCTTTGAAAAAGTAGAGTAGATGATATATGATGCATGCAAATGTTACTCTTTCCCTCATGGGTTACTAAGTGGCTTGTCTGAATTTGGATTTGTAATTGCATGTTGCAGGTGATGTTAACAGCATCAGTGTTGGATCTGGAACCAACATCCAAGATAACTCTCTTGTTCATGTAGCAAAATCTAATTTAAGTGGGAAGGTTTTACCAACTATTATTGGAGACAATGTTACTGTTGGTAAGTAATGTGGAACTGTTCTTTCAATCATATTAATACTTAAGGTTTTTTAGTAAGGATAACCAAGTTGAACTTTACAGGTCATAGTGCTGTCTTACATGGATGCACTGTTGAGGATGAGGCCTTTGTTGGTATGGGGGCAACCTTGTTAGATGGCGTTTTTGTTGAAAAGCACGCCATGGTTGCTGCTGGAACTCTTGTTAGGCAGAATACCAGGATACCCTGCGGAGAGGTTTGTGAGCT